GCCCCCCACCCCCCACCCTCTTCTCCCCGTAACCTCCGGCTTACCCCGCTACTTCTCTTCTCTCCCCCTCCCCTCTTCCTCCATACAAGCCTGAGACCCCCCACCCACCCCCCACAATATTGAACATCTCCCCACCCCTTTGTTTCCGCATCCCCTCCCCCCACGTTACATCTAAAAAACGATTGCTCTACGGACTCGACTATTGTTTTCTTACGTGAATGAGCCAATAGATTCTCTCCCCCCCCCCCCCCCCCCGGGGGTTGACTGTTCCCCCGCTTAAACAGACCGAACGCGTTGGGCGCATAGCCCTGGCGGGGATTGGCGTACGGTGGGTTTGTTTGGTCACCCGGCGCTTTGCCACGGGCCTCCGTTCTTGTGTTCAACAAAAACCGCTCAGTTCACGGCGCCGATAGCGGACACCGTGCTGCACTTGACGTCCCCTTTAAATGACGGCGCCGCGACCGCTGCCTGCGTCCCCGCTGGGGGCCGCCCCAATTACAAACCCCACGGAGATGTACCACGGCGCGCCCGCTGCGTGACGCGTACATCCGACTCGCACGCCACATGACCAGGGATGCTGCTGCTGCTGCTGCGGTGTACTGGTTAGTGGCACGCCGGGCTTGCGAGCCAGAGGTCGCCGGTTCAATTCCATCTCCACGGCGCGACAGCTGCAACGATTGGGCCAAGTTTTTCCCGAATTCCACCCGGCCACTGTCCACTTCAGCGGTATCAATTGGTGCAGCACATTGAGTCGGTCAGCAGGTCACGTGTGGTGGGGTAAAATGTGGGTAAAAGCCACCACGTCTCCCAAAACGTCCATCCAGCGTGGAAGGGTAGACCAAAAGTACCCTCCAGAGGGACGCCCCGGAGCTCTCTCTAGCGGCGGCTCCTTCCGCCAGCGTTGGCGGAAGGAGCGGGCGACTGCGGGGGCTGCGCCTTCGCCGGTCGTTAAAGCCGCCAAACGATCGCGCACGCCGGAGCCGAATTCACGGCGCGGCGAGACGCGGCCGCCGGCGAACTGCTCGCGCCGAGGCCCAGAGAGAAGCCCGGGAGGCGGGCGGCTGTGGAAATCCTGAGCAGACCATTAGCAAACGCCCCCCCCCCCCCAACCCCACCCCCCCCACGTGGTGAACCGTTGCGAGCCTCGGTGAAACTCCGCGGAGACGCTTACGAGACAATCGCTCAGCTTCCCCCCCGAAGCTGCACTAGAATTATATCACGGTATCGCAGAACGCTATGGGTTCATTGCTCGAGTAATTTATCGTTTGAATGGTGAACTTAAAACGTAAGGTCACGTTGAAGGTAAACAATAAAATAATAAAATATATATAAAACAATAATAAATAAATACACCGTTTACAAATAAATAAGTAAATGCGAACCGCCACTTCTTTCAAATGTTTCTTGCCGTTGGTTTTTCACACCTGATGACGACCGCTTGTGTTATGGTCGAAACGTCGTGATAATTTTTTATTGTTTCATATATATTTTATTATTTTATTGTTTACCTTCAACGTGACTTTACCGAAAGCGCTAAGAATATGAATTACTGCAGTCACGAAAGCTTTAAATCAAAATTTAAAACGTAAGGTTTCTTGGCCAACGCTCGCACAAACCGTGTAAACACACAAAGCGCCGCTTTGTTCCACCACCAAACATTGCTCACGCAATAACGGGCAATCCCGCGATCACGTGACGTCAGTTCGGGGGCGAAAACAAGGAGACGGATAATCATTTCATGAAAACGGGAATGACCATCCCACAGGTATGGTGGCAGTTAACAAGAGCTATGTGAGTATTGCGACAATAAAAAGCCGTCGAGTTATTTTATCCTATAACGAGCGCGGGTCTTTTTTCTAACACAACCTCACGTTCGTGTCCATTGGCCTGCGTGCCATTCCGAGCAAATGCCTCTTTATCCCAGCGGGCATTTATTTGAACGATAAAACTAGGCCTCAGTCTCATCAACAGGGGCGGTTGGCTGTTAACCAAAATGACGCTGGGCTGGTAAGCGAAAGCCCTCCATGAACACTCTGGCGTGCGTTCATCGCAGTAACGCAAACCAAATAGGATTTGTTTAATATATACGAGTTATCTTGGGGAGAGTGTTGGCACAGTGGTTAGAGCACTGCGTTGTAGCATCAGCCCCGACCACTGGAGGAGCCAGTTGGGGGGGGGGGGGGGGGTGAGGTGGCACGTGCCCCCCCCAATGATCAGATCAAAATCCCTAATTTCGATCGGATCATTGGGGTTTATTAGTAATTAATCGGCATTTTGTGACCCCCACTGCCACTGTGTAGCATATTATTACGTGCCAGGGACTTTGTGAGATGATAGGGCAATAGTCCGAGTCCATAATTGGCAATAAGTAACGGCAAAGCAGTTATAAGTGACTCACAGAGTTGTGCGCAGTTGCGTATACAGCACACGACTTCCCTGAAGGCAAACACCTTCAGCGAGCGCGATGCCGATCACACACGGTTCGAATTAAGACTTGCTTACTAACAACTCCTATAATGTTTCATTGCTGGAGGGGTTGCCCCCCCTACCTGAAAATCCTGGCTCCGCCATTGCCCCCGACTATCCTCAGTGGCGAGTGATAACCTAACCTGCCCTGAGGACTGCCTTTCACCAAATGACCAGCGTGGTGAAGCATGATGTCGGGTGGCATTTATCCAGCAGCGTATTGACAAAAGACACTCAATCATCATTCATAATGTTGCCATCGTTAACGACAGCGGCACGCGTCAGTGTTATGTTTAATTATTGAGATTCGCACTCACGCAAAACAAAGATCCCCCGTAGAGCCTTTAACAGACTGTTGGGGCAAGTGCATCTATGAAGGCCAGAATGGCACGCGAGGGAGCGGGTGGCCAGCACCACGCCCAACCGCCTTTGTCTCTCCAGTGCCAATGTTCGCACATCGCACCAGGTACCTCGTTTCAGGTCGAGTTGACCTAGGGGAGGCCAAGAATCGGTTCAGATAATCGTGACCGGTGTTGGCCGTGATGACGCCGGGTTCGCAGCACGGCGCGCTAACCGCTGCACCACCGCTCTCCCCGCGCACGTACGGTGCAAAGCGACACAGAATCGGAGCGGCAGGCGGCCGTCACGTGGTGTTTGGCAGCCGCTACGCACGCACCGGCGACTGTAGGTCATCTCGGCGCCGCTCGGCGCCGCTCGGCACCGCTGTCGAAACGTACAGAGGAGGCCACACAACGCGAGCTCATTCCGCACGACTCCCTGCAGCGTGGAAACACGGAGGTCGTAACGCACGAGTTGGGGGACGGGCGGGCGGGCGGGCGGGCGGGGCACATCGATGGCCACGCACGACCCTCGTTACGGTTTCCCCGTGCCGCGGCAGCGCCCGCGGAGACCGCCGCCGTCGCGCGAGTGGCACGTGGCAGCGAAAACCCCCCGCGGGAGGGAGCAGGGAAGGGGTAAATTAATGCCGAGTCGCCTCGACGGTCCCCAAAGCACAATTACGGTGAGTCATCACGTGAGCTGGAACGATGCGCCGAGTCGTCAAAATCGCTTCACCGAGCGGAATCACGACGGAGCCATTGAGTCGCTCGACAGAGCTGAAATTACGATGGCCCGTTTAGTTGTCCCACCGGGCGCAATGATGCCGAGCCGTCAAGTAAACCCGCCGCGTCTCGCGATCTTGCACCGTCGTCTCCGTCCGCGGCGGCGGATCTCACGCCGAGACGTCGAAGTCGGCCGACGAGCAGCGGATACGCGGGCGGCACCCGAACCCCGGAGCCGATCGAGCAGGACCGGAGGGGAGACGCGCGGATTCGCCTGGCTCCGTGCGCAGTAACACGGGCCGTGCGTTTGTGATGGCACGCGGGACGCGGGCAGACCGCATTGGCCGACCGCCGCCGGGCTTAAACGCCGGGCTTAAACGCCGGGCTTCATCAATTGGCAGCCCACGGGACAGGTGTGGCTCACGAAGGGCCCTTGGAGTGGCTCGTCGAGAGATACGAGCCGCCGGGATATAACGAGAGAGAGAGAGATTCGTGAAATGAGAGAGAGAGAGAGAGACATGCACGAGGGACGGAGACGAGAGAGCTGCAGACGAGAGACACGGATCGGTGGTCGCGTGCGGAGATGGAAACGACGCCAAGCGGCATCAAAACATTCACACGCGTAAAGCATACGACGTCACGTGGCACGACATTGTATTGTGCGGCCTACGGGTGAAAATATCGTTGAATGATCCGACTTCAGAGGACGCCGCCGTGTTTTGTTTGCAATGCGAGACACGCACGTTTGGGTTTTACCCCCGGCGAGTAGGATTTCGCGGTTGGGCTGTATGGCTCTCCGATGTTTTTGGTTTCTACCGTGTGCTGTTTGGCACGATGCCGGATGTTTCACTCCACGTGCTGGCACGAAACGTCGGACAACGTGCCCCCATATAGCCTCAACAGAACGTTGGGGCACGTGCTGTGAGCCAGCGCCCCTGAAGACCGGCACGGCAAGATGTTTACACACCGTACCAAGTGCTTATTTGAGACTGAGTCGACCTAGGGGAGGTCCAGGTCAGGTTCAGACAATCATCACCGGTGTTGGCCATGAGCGGGTATCGAACTCGGATCGCCGGGTTCAGAGTGCAGAGCGCCCACCTCTACACCACCACTCCGCATTATGGTGCAACACCGCGCGGCATTATGGTGCAACACCACGCGGCACAACCCGCCCACGCATCGGAGCACCACGCTTGGGTCCTCATGTCCTTACGGTGGTTTGGTGTTGAGTTGTAATAGAGGTGTTTTGGGTTAGATCGCGTAAACATATAAAGGTGTCGTTAAAACCCGCCACCACCCGACATAGCCAACTAGTAAGGGTTGTCACGTAAACAGAACGTGCCAATTCGTCACTAGTACAGCACGCCGGTGTGTTGGAGAACCAAGCCAGTAATTACAACTAGCTTCGTCAGGCGACCCAGGTTTGTGTCGAGTTGTGTTGAGCTCCCCCCCTTTGGGGAGCGCGGCACGCACCGACCGTCCACGGCTTGTCCCGCCCGGGAGCCAGGCGGCACGGGTCCGTGTAGTGCGAGAAGAGACGGTGCTGCTGTTCCTTGCGGTCATCTGGAGCCACATGCACACACACACACGCATTACACATACAACAACAACCGCCATTCGCCACTAAATGGCGGTGACGTCACCACGACGCTTGTGCCAGGCCATGTGCACATTGAGGCCACGTGAAGTGTCGAACGCCCGCTGGCAGGAGGTCACGGGGCAGACCCAGGTGCCACGGGTCGACTGACTGAGATGACTGGCTGGTGCACCACCTGTGCCCCCGACTGTGCCAACCTGCTGTGCTTTAGCCACCCGGCACTCCACTCGTTGTTGTGAGCGTCGCTCCTCCGCCCTCCGTTGTTGTTGGAGGGCGACTGCCTCCAACTGCCCAGTAGCGTCCTTCACGAGCCTCCTCCACAGAGGCCGGTCTTGACACGGCTGGTACCAGTCATCGGCAAGTCCACTCACCTCCACGTCCTCCTGTACCACATCACTCCATCTCTTCTCTAGCCCGTGCCGCGCCCATTTAGCCCCCTCGATCCGGCCAAACAAAAGCTGTTTCGGCATGCGGTGGCTGGGCATGCGGCTACATGACCCAGCCAACGCAGCCTTGCCTGCCAGAGGAGCTCACAGATGGGACCTTGCCCAGATCTTTCAAAGATTTGTGAGCACCTCACACAATCCAGCCTGGTTAAACCCAGGATGGATCGTAGGCAGGCTAGCCTAAATGTTTCTAACCGGCGAAGATGTTCCATTAAGGGGGTCCACGTTTCGCAAGCATAGAGAAGGGAGGGAATGACCGTGGCCGAGAAGACCTGAAGCTTAGTGTGGAGCGACAGACCAGGTAGTTTCCACACAGTGTTACGCAACCGATGAATTGATTCGGAGTGAGACCTCTGCTGTTAAACTGGAGCCGGTCATAAGCACACTGCCCAGGTATAGGAAACTTTCCACTCTCTCCACAACTGCCCCATCACCGATTTGAAGTTGTGGGGGTGGAGTGTCCGATGGTACAAAATATTCAGGCAGGTGCTTAGTTTTGGTGGGGCTGACGGTATGGCCCCATCTCTTAGTGGCACGCTCCAGTCTCAGCAGCAGCGTCTCCAACTCCTCCTCTGAATAAGCAGCTGTTACCAAATCATCGGCATACATAACGTGGTTGAGCAATAAGGAGCCATCCCTTGACCGCACCCGGGCATCGATCAGCCTCCCATCATATCTGTACCAAATGGAGATTCCCCCGGTACAGATATTGAAGGCTTCACGAACTACGTGGTCAAAATAGATGTTAAATTATGTGGGAGCCCGAGGACATCCCTGTCACACCCCAAAGTGTACAGGGAATGGCTCTGACTCCCGGCCACATAGTTTTACCCGAGCCCGCTCACCATCATAAAGGTCCTTAATGATCGTGAGCAGGGGGTAAGGGACTCCAAAAGCATGAAGAACAACCCAGAGCCCAGGCCTATTGATGGTATCATAGGCCTTGACCAGGTCAATAAAGCAGAGATGTAGGTCTTGTTGGAATTACCTGCACCTCTGCTGTAGCAGACGGACAGAAAATATGGCATCTGTGCAGGACCGCCCTTTCCTGAAACCGCATTGGGCCTCCGTAAGCCTCTCCTCAGCGTGCCTGGCAAGGCGATGTTGAATAATCCTTGCCAGGACCTTTCCCGGCACACTGAGGAGTGAGATGCCCCTGTAGTTGTTACAGTCTGTGCGGTCCCTCTTCTTAAAGAGGGGGACCACCAGGGCATCCTTCCAATCCTGCAGAACCCGTCCAGTGGTCCAGACTGTTGTTATGATGTCATATAGGGCAGTCTGTGCACAGACGCCACCCTCCCTCAGCATTTCGCTTGGGAGATCATCTCTGCCCGGTGTCTTTCCTGTTCTCAGACACCGGATCGCCTTCAGTACTTCCTCAACGGATGACACCTCAGCCAGCCACTCACAGGGGGTGACTTCTTCCAATATTTGAGGCACCGTAGCCTCAGCAGGGTCATCCCCACTTTGTGCCACGATGTTTTCCTGGCTGAGTGGTTTCCCCTCCCCCAGGACCTCACAGAAATGCTCAGCAAATCTGCAAACCTGTTCCTGGGGGTCGGAGATTGGAACACTGTTTTTTCCCCTCATGATGGTAATAGGTGTGGCGCTGCAGGTTACTTTTTTGATGGAGTTAAATAGAGATTTGTGATCGCGGGCCACTGAGGCAGACTCCATCTCCTCAGCAACCTGCGACCACCACCCATCCTTGCAGCGCCTCACGGCTCTCCGAACCTCCGAGCGAAGGCTGCAGTAAGCCTCCTCATTCTCTAACGTGGGATTTTGTAGCCGATGACAGTGGGCTTGTCGCTTTTTCTCAACTATCCTGAACACCTCCTGTCAGCCAGGGTCTCTGGGGAGGTCTGGACCGCGTACCAGAAGCAGCCATTGCAGCTGCATGAGTCACAGTCCTAAACCTCGCCCATTTACCCTCAACATCAGGAGGAGTGGGGGACGATGCCAACCCCAGCCGCAAGCGATGATGAAATTCTCGCTTGCAACTTTCATCAGCTAACTGAGACCAGGCCACTTTAGGTTGGAATGGGGTTCTGGGTGTACACCCACCACCGGAGTGGAAAAATGGCAGGCGCATCTTACAGATGACTAGTCGATGGTCAGAGGGCAGATCAGCTCCACGGTAGGTCCTGGTGTCAAGGACATGGGCTCGCATCCGCTGGTCCATCACTATGTAGTCCAGCAGATGTTCTTGCTTGGACCCAGCATTCATCCATGATGTTGTGTGGATGCGCCGATGCCGGAACAGCGTGTTGGTAATTACAAGCCCATGGGCTGCACAAAAATCTAGCTGCCTCCTACCATTGTTATTGAACTGATCTGGCCCATGCCCTCCAAACACTCAAGACCAGGTGCCAGCATCATGACCAACTCGGGCATTGAAGTCACCCAACAAGATGACTCTATCCCGAGGGGCCACTTTAGCCAGCACCTGTGACAGAAGGTCATAGAAGGCATCTGACTCATCGGCTTTGCCTGCATCCCTCCACGGATGTTCGTCTTCGGTGGGGGCATAAGTAACCACGACCACCACTCCTTGCCTCCGGTTGATGGGAAGGCGAGCCCAAAGTAGCCTGGGACTTACAGCTTCCCACACCTCACCGCCACGCTCCCACGCACCCTTCATTATTTTGTTCAAAAGAAGAGCCACACCCTGTTGTTTGGCAGTCTGCTGCCCCAAGTAGAGGACTGTCCACCCATAATGGTGAAGGAGTCAGAACCGGTCCACCGGACCTCCTGAATGCCACAGAGATCCAGGCGGTACCGGTCCAGCTCCCGACAGAGGAGTGGCAGCCTCTCCTCCGCAGTGAGCGTTCGAACATTCCACGTGGCCACACGAAGTGGCTTTTCGTTGTTTCTGGAGGAGCCCCGAGGGTAGAGATTCAATTTCCTGGCTCCGCACATTGAAGTTTGGCCAGGAGACGTCATAGACGCCTGAAGGTGGAGGGGTTACCAGCCCCTCGCACCCGTCCAGAGCCCCCGTTTAGCCACTGTGGTGGTCACAGACGACATGAGGGGAGAGGCCAATCGGAATTGCCCCCCCCACAGCACTGTTCACCACAGAGTTGCCCGTCCGGCACCGCGAGGAGGTAGGGGGTTGTTTTGCCAGACTACACATACACACGAGCATTACACACACACACATTACACACACATACACGAGCATTACACACACACACCCGCATTACAAAGACTTGACACCGAGATGTGCACGATGAGACGAGGCGCTTGGGGCTGCCTCCAGCGGGCTCCTCCACCCCCTCCACCTCCCCCCCAACGGCATCACCAAGCCACCGACCTTCGGAGGAGTTGTCGAAGTTGAAGTCCCCGCACAGGATGTCGAAGACGACCAGGTCCTGCGGGCGCGCTGGGTCCGACGTCGCCTCCACAAACTCCTCCTTCCACTCCAGCAGCCGGTCCAGCTGCTCGCAGCGGATGTCGGCATCCTCTGCGCACGCGGCCCACGCTCGTGAGAAACCCACGCACGCCCACGCACGCCCACGCACGCCCACGCGTGCCCACCTATGCCCACGCACGCCCACGCACGCCCACGCGTGCCCACCCATGCCCACACCCACGCACGCCCACGCGTGCCCACCCATGCCCACACCCACGCACGCCCACGCGTGCCCACCCATACCCACGCACGCCCACGCCCACCCACGCCCATGCGTGCCCACCCATGCCCACGCCCACCCACGCCCACGCGTGCCCACCCATGCCCACGCACGCCCACGCGTGCCCACCCACGCCCACGCACGCCCACGCGTGCCCACCCATGCCCACACCCACGCCCACGCGTGCCCACCCATGCCCACACCCACGCACGCCCACGTGTGCCCACCCATACCCACGCACGCCCACGCCCACCCACGCCCATGCGTGCCCACCCATGCCCATGCCCACCCACGCCCACGCGTGCCCACCCATGCCCACGCCCACCCACGCCCACGCGTGCCCACCCATGCCCACGCCCACCCACGCGTGCTTACCCATGCCCACGCCCACGCACGCCCACGCGTGCCCACCCATGCTCACGCCCACGCGTGCCCACCCATGCCCACGCCCACCCACGCCCACGCGTGCCCACCCACGCCCGCCCCCGAACACTTGACAGGACTCTCCAGAAAACGAGTCTTCAGACTCAAGCAAGGCATTGCTGAGTAAACAAGTGCAGGAGAAATAATACAACTATAATATAATACAAACGACCCTCGCGATTTCGGCTAGGTTACCTTCCAGGGCTTGCAGATGCGTAGAGGCGATGTATCCCACAATCCTCTGGTCCTGTGCAGTGCTTCCCACGTGCACCTGAGGGTGACACCACAAGAAGCACGCGCTTGGTTATGTGTTTTGTACATTTTTTGGGGACATTATACAAGGCCTCACCCATTACGCAATGGGAATGTGGAATTTCCACCGCTGGCTCGGAATTTAAACAAGAGATGACCGCCAAAAGCCTCAACGCTCGTGTTGAGCCCAATGAGCTGTTATCTCCTTTATCAGAGGCAACCTCGCCACGCATGATAGCTCACAGAAGTGGCTTATGTCATCACAAGTGATCGAAACGCATGTTCCATAAATATGGATGGCAAACACCAGAGGACCCAGGGGACAAAACCGACAGGACCACAGAGAGAGAACATTCGAATTTCAAACGTACGTGCATCAGGGGTCGGGATCGAAACCAACGACCTCCCGCATAGCAGGTGACAGATATGATAATCTCACCACCACGGTGCCCATTTCTTCAGATCTTGGAAACTAAGCAGGTACAGGTGTTCCAGGCTGTTGCTGTTGCTGGGCTACACTTCGAGCAGAGGGTCCGGCCAAGTTTTCGCAGTCGATGTGGTTGATGTTGCGACGTGTGATCCTAATTGAGTACTTTGCAGAAAAGAAAGCGATGTTTTGGCCAATACCAGTTCTAAATGCATTGTATGGGTTTCATTAGTTACAGGAGGAGACCAGAGAACCCGGAGAAAATCCATGCAGAACAGAGGGAGAACATACAAACTCCCCTCGCAGACAGCCACTCGAGTTGGGAATCAAACCCCGGCCCTTCTTCCTGCGAGACACAAGTGTCACCACTTTGCCACGGGACCGCAGGGATATCTCAGAGATGGAAATGAGCAAACCTAAGTACGGTGCAGTCAAAACCTAGAATTTCAGGGGGGGGGGGGGGGGAGCCACCCAACCAACCCAACATTGCTTGCGTGGCTCTGCCCGGAATGGACTCCCCCCCCAGGTTCACCCCTCCCCCCCCCCGGGGCAGTGTGGGGCCTCCCTCGTGTGCCAGCAGCGTGCTGTTTAATCATAAATTCATGAGCAGTGACCCAGGAGCCTGGCTGGAGGCACTCAATCCCATCAGCGCTGCACGGGCAACGCAGCAAAGTAATAAACCAACATGACTAGGATTGATCACAAGGCTGGGGGTGAAAAAATGACGTGGCCCCAAACACACCATAGTAATTAAACAGCAGTGAGAGTCCATAATGGAGGTGGGTTTTTGTTTGGCCTTTTGGGATAAAATGTCCAGTGATGTCAGAATGGATGGGGAGTTAAGCCGCCAACCATCTCGGTTTGGCCAGGGCAGTCTCAATGGTTTCAAAAAGTGTGACCCAATCTCAAACCCCTCAATCCCCCCACACCCCTGCCACCACACCTCTCCAAATTGGGATTTTATCCCCGGTTTGAAATGTTCTGGCTACCTGAGTAGTGGGCGGGGCTAACGGAGCAGTGGGCAGGGCTAATAAAATAGTGGGCGGGGCTACCAGAGCAGTGGGTGTACCTGGCAGATTTGGACGGTGACTATCCACAGTAGGCAGAGCCAACAACAAGAGTGATGAGCGAATCCCCTTGTTGTGTGGGGCGGGCCAAGCGAGTTCGAGTGGGCGTGGCTATGAAAAAGTGGGCAGAGCCAACGGGAACGGGCTCCCGCTTAGCACGCGTCCACGTCGAGCCCACCAGAAATGCCGGTAACTTTAATGAGATGGCAGTGGCGAGGGGGCATCGATCAACGCGTGGTGAGCCACGTGGACACTACCGCGGCGGCAAACTCTCCCGCCACAATTTGCGAGCGACGGCGAATCCGATGCCAGGCCCGCAAACCCCCCACCACCGATGCTCGCCGCCACCCCTCCTCCCTCACCTTGGCGAAGAGGACGCCCTTGGCGGCAAGGATGTCCTCCTTCCGCCCGTTGGGATAGCAGTGGTAGGCGGCGTCCAGGATGGGGAAGCGGCTGGCGAGGAAGAGGCCGCTGTTGAAAAACTTGAACTGGCAGCCGTGGAAGGCGTAGACGCCCACGTCCGACAGGATGTAGGGGAAGCAGGGGTGCAGCTGCCCGCACAGGTTGGCCGCCGCCCGCTTGTCGAACACCTCCTGCAGGCACAGGAAGTCGAGGTCCGCGGGGAAGAACGGCGCCACCTCGCTGTAGATGTCCTCGCCGGTCTTGCTCGCCCGCTTGCGCGAGGCCTTCGCCATCCTCTCCGACAGGAGGTTGGCACAGGCGGCGGAGCGGTCGTTGTTCGCCTGCGCTTCCCTGCGCCCGTCCCCCGGCGGCGCCGCCTCCGTCCCGTTGGTCATCGCGTCGCGGTCCCCGTCCCCAAACTCGATTTTGACGCTGCAGGAATCCTCCTTGCTCTTCTCCCCACCGCCGCCACCGGTCCTGTCATCTTCGGGCGTCTCCCTGTCGATGTACTGGATGTCTTCCCGGCTGCCCTGCTGCGGTCCGCCGCGCTTCTGCCCGCCCTGCTGCGCCGACGTGTGCGACTGCAGGGACGTCGTGCGTCTCAGCGCCCCGTACATGGAGCCGCCGCCGCCGCCGCCGCCGCCGCCGTGCTGCTCCGAATCCAGGAGGCTCGTGTTGCTCTCCGACGTGTCGGTGGGCGAGTCCACCAGGATGCGGATGGGCGGGCGGCCCACCCCGTTGCGGATGCGAAGCCCCATCTCGCGGGACCGCCGCTGGGTGTGCGACAGGTTGCTGAAGCGCGCAAGCGAGTCGGGCAGCAGGCACACGTTGGCCGACGCGAACGAGAAGCTGCGTCCGCCCTGCCGCAGCAGGTCGGTCAGCGGCGGCCGCTGCCTGCTGGCCTGCCGATCCTTGCCGCCGTGGAAGGAGGAGTACGCGTACGGCCGCCGTGCCGACTGCAGGGGCAGCCACACGAGGAAGCCAAGCAGCGCGAAGGGCAGAGAGAGCAGGAACGCGAGGACGACCGCGGGCACCAGCACGCACAGGTAGAGCGGGCGCAGGTAGCAGGCGTCCTGGGCGCGCTCCTCGCGCTCTTTGCTGGTGGAGACGCAGACGGCGATGAGCCGGTCGGCGAGCCAGTATGTGGGGAACACGAGGGCCCAGGCGGCCGCGTGCAGGCCGCGGCAGCACGCGTTGGGGAACGGCGAGCGGTGCAGCACCATGGTGGCGTCGCCGGTTCCGGCGGCCCTCCTCCTCCGCCCACTAGACACCGCGGGGGTGGGAGGGCCATGCGGCGAGTGTGGCACTACCAGGCATCATGATGCCAAGCAGAGCTCGTCTGTACACGCACGCACACACACGCACACCACACGCCTATAACAGAATAATAGCACAGGCTGGAAAACCGTACGTGCCACGCAACACACATGTAAGAAGCACACATCTATGGCAGTATTTTCGCTAGGTATGGGACTAGGTGTTTTAGCATCCTACCGCCTGTATTAACATCCTAAAACCTGTATTAACATTTTAACACCTGTATTATTGGCAGAAAGGGTCAAGAATTTATTTTTTATCATGAAGCACAGAGCCTCCGCCTGCATTCTGCAAAAAAACATCGGTATTTCCTGCAGAGGTGCATTGTGGTCCTCTTGTCACCGTTAAAACAAACTTGAGCAGATGTGACCGGCGTCAGATGCGTGGACACGGCAGACGCGGCTCGCAAAGTCCGCCCCTGCACCCCCGGCGCAAAACAGAAGCGGCGGATCCCCCCCCCCACCCGACCTCCCCAGCGTGGGGGGGGGGGTGTCCAATTAACGGGTGACGTGGCTTGTGACAGTCTGTCGTGGCTGGGGACATCGGGAGGCTGCGGCGACTCACGGGCGTCTGTTGCCCACGTGAGGGTTTCTGCAGTTGTGCTGCCGCGTGCCGCTCTCTATCCCCCGCCCCCCCGCCGCCGCCCCCGCGTGTTTTTGACTGTCTTTTTGCCGCTTCGTGTCGTTTGGGCACGATGTTTCCGACGCTTCGCCCCGCGATGCTGGAGGCTTCTTCAGGAAGGGAATGTTGGGCACCTTGCCGAACAGCGCGCGGTGCATCCGAAGGGCACGCTACTGGGGAGCGAACGTCTAGCCCAAACATTTACGGACTCGGAACGCAAATTTAGAAAATAACATTCGTGCAAAACTGAGCACAATTTGTTCAAAATTAGGAAACATTCCCAGGGCCATCCACATTTCTCAAAGTCTTTGAATGTAATGAGTGTGCTCGGGGGGGGGGGGGGGGGGGGGGGGGGGGAAAGTCGTGAATAAGTAAAAGAAAAAGCAATTACGCTGAAAGAGCGCAGCTTTGCCAAACACACTTTAATTGCGTGAGTGCCGGCCGTCAGGCAACCCGGGGAAAATAAATTGCTCTTACGATGAGATTAACGGCACGGCCAGCACGAGCGCCACCTCCCCGGCCCGAACGTGAAGGCAGGAGGCCGCCGGCTGAGGCAACGCCCAAGCCCGGACCGTACGCGGACCGGAACGGTCCGAGCGGCCGTGAAGTTGGTGCATCGTCGTCCTCTGGGCGGACTTTGGCGGCCGCGCCTGGGCGGTTTGTCGGCGAGCTGCGTGCACGGCGAGCGGGCGCGAGGCTGCCTGCTGATCGCGCGACGTTCGCGACTCAATCGTCCCGCGACTGCTGTGGCTGCAGAGAGGGCCGTCATTCCCCGTCGTCGTCAGTCGCTAGAAGAGGGTTGTTTGACCGTACTTCATCAAGTCGCTCAGTGCGGGCGGTCACCTGGTTCAAATTAAACTTGACGAACGAACGATTTTTCACCACCGGCGATGCAATTGCGATGTTGGTATCACACCACCAAGCACTACGCTGCCACTCGTCACACCTCCACAGCCAGCACTAATGCCACATCGTACAACGCAATAACCGCATCTTGGGGCAATGCTATCTGCTGTGCCGCATTCTCAGCGTGGGTTTGACGGAGAGGTACCCGGCACTTCACCCCCACTGCATCCCCCCCTCCCCCCCAGCAACCACCACACACGTTGAGACGAAATTTCTCATTTACTATTGTCCAGGTCCGTCACAGACTAAAGTAGGTGGCATGCAACTTGGAGGCACGGCCATAGCAAGACTGGGTACGCTGGACGTGGTGTGCCGCCGTTTGTGGCGATGTTTTTCGGCTGAAATTAAACCCCCCAATGCCTCTGGTCACAATAGACAAATGGAACGATCGTGGTGGCGGCTCTTCCAGTAAAACATTACAGAACCGCACGCGCACGCACGCACCCAACAAGCGCGTCAAATTCGTTAAATAAGGCAGCTCCATAGCACGGAGAGAGACGCACACTTGGAATTACATCGACGGACAGAAAAAGGAACGTGTGGATCAGAGAGCATACGGACGTTTAAGACATCGCACAGACTGGCAACAAAAAGTAAGTGAGCATGGGCAGGATGCGTTGCTCGAAGGCATGAGAGCCGGCGGTCGAGACTAACAACCGGGGCGGTAGGCAAAAGAGGGAGCGTGCCCACGAGGTCGTCCACCACGGAGATGGAGCCACGAAATCAGTTCGCGCGCGGGCGCTAGGCGGTCTGCGAGAGACGAGGAACGCTTTGGGAGGCCGTCGTCCAGCGGCAGTGGACAGATCGCGGCTGATGGCGACCGAGTTGGGGGCAGCCCGTAGCGGTTCAGGCCGTGGGCTCAGCTGCGCGGGCCTGCAGGGAGCGCCGTGGGCCCCCCGTGCTGGCCGGGGTCGCCCCGCGTGCGGAACGGCCGGCCCCATTATCTACGGGCCACGCGCGGCCCACTACCTCACGTCGTATGGCCCGTGGCCACGAGCGGCACCAAAACGATAATCATCCATCGCTCTAGCACTAATCAGGTACTAGAATGGGGGGGGGGGGGGGGGCGTATGTTGACGAGGCGACAGCAGTGCGAGACTAATTTTACAGTGCTCGGTCACTCCTGCCACTGCAAGGGCTTCATCGTATGGCGCGGCTTTACACACAAAAGACGCTGCGATTGGGCCGTTAGCAGATTAAACGCCGCACGATTGAGTGTGCGCAAGTCCCCATGGGGAAGATCATCTAAAGAGCATTCATCACTGCCGCGTCAGGGCTCTCTTCAATCCCGCCGGTGAAAAAGCGGCAGACAATCGATGAACCCTCCCCTCCTCCTCCCCTCCTACAATTTTGTAGATAATTCACTTCCACGCCCATCCATAAAGCCCAGCCCTCAGTAAACACACACATTTCTGTCACGCACGCTTGGAGTTACATTGAGAAACGAAAGAGGAACACGTGGATTTGTATAATGCACGTTATATGATAATAATAATATTTTCAGCTTGCAACGTGCCGCCGTAACGCAGCGTTCGCTCGCTCTAGAAGAGAGAGAACGACTCGGAGGCTGGACCACAGACAAGCGACAAGGCAGGCGCCCAGCGAGTCAGCACTCCCAACAATTGCCCAAGCTCTGCGGTCCTTTATATGTGTAGAGGTGTGATCAGCATCATTAACGAGTGCTTACATGTGAGAGGAAGCCGATAGACCCGGTGAAAACTCATGCGTGCAAGGGAGAAACGCTGTATTCCGTGCAGCCGGAATAGGCGGAGCCCGCTTTTTTGCTGTACCAACTCCTCGACGGCCACGGGAAGGGAGTTTCGCAACATTTGTACGAACCACCAACCCTCGCCGTTCCCAAAATGCACCAGCGCAGCTCACTCGTACAAAGTTGCTGTACTGCACTGAACGGGCTACACTGCGTCAATGGAGGACCTCTCATCAGGCAAAACACCGGTGTTTGGTTTAACGGGCCGCACCCTTGCCGATGAGAATCAGAAAGATGAAACCACACTGGCTCGGGGAAATGCATCATCATTTGAAAATTATCTAATGGAACCAAATGTTACTTTTTGTTTTTAAACGGACGAATAGACAAATTGCTGGCGCGATGCGACGACGTTCAATCAATTGGCTTGTGAGAGCGATCAATTGGGCTGCCAGTTAGCGCCGGGGGTTCGCATGGCTACGCGAGATCGCGCGATGACTCAGGATCACGTGGCTAAGTGGGATCACGCGATGACTCGGGATCACGCGATGACTCAGGATCGCGCGACTGCACGGGATCGCGCGACTGCACGGAATCGCGCCACGACTCGGGATGGCGTGACTGTGCGCGATCGAGCACGCGCACTTTCCCCATGCCATTACCGGGCCTCTCCGCCAGCAAATGCCACACTCACATCCGTGCAGAGAGCCAACAGAAGCTTTTAACAACACCGAAAATCATTAATGACCGGCATTGAAAAATAATATTCCGCTTGCGTGATTTGAAACTAGCAATAATTTGGCACAAAAGCAACGCACCTAACGCGTGGTCCCCGCATCACCATGATGCAGTGATTTGGTCGCGGTTACGGTTCAACTCAAAGAATCGATCGTTTTTTGGGGGGGGGCAAATTTTTAGCATCTCATTTATGTTTTGTTTGTGCATTTCTGTCCGTTCCGTCAGCCTGAAATGTGATGCTGGAATATAACGCATATAATATTTGCATGAACATCAAATAGCCGATTCTTACACGGAGGATCCGATGTATATCTTGTGAGCAGAAGAATCGATAATATGGTCACGAGTCGCTGACTAATTACACCAATAGAAAATGGTACTTTGAGGGAAAGAACCATCAAAACGCTTCATCTAGGATAATTCATATAAACTCTCCGACGTGTTTTCCGATCGTACCACGCGTTGTTCAGCGCGACGTCCAACGTTTCGCTCCCAATTCCGGGAGATTTTGCAGGGGCCGCGACGTCAGACACCGCGGCCGAACGGCACAAACAAATCGGAGAGCTGTGCAAGCAAAACGGCCGCGACAAACCTACTTGGCGGCAACTCAAATCACCCGCCACGAGTACCATGGAATAACATTCAGCGAAAAAAAAACACACACACACAGAGGATCGCATTAAGATTAAGTAGTTACGAGGCGATTACGCAATACAAACACAGCAATAATGGAGTGCTTCTAGATTTGAAGTTTTCGCGACTGCAAGAATCCATACTCGTACATAAAAAAATATAATTAAAAAAATGAAAAAACAACTCTATTAAATCACGACGTTTCGGAAGCAACACAAGCTTCCGTCATCAGAAGAAAAAAAATTGCTGTGATTTAATTTAGTTGTTTTTTCATTTTATTTTTTTACACCTACGTGACTTTACCGAATAAAACCGAAGAGTAATGGAGTGCTCTTGCCAATTATTTAAAGCAATTGAACTGCTGACAAAAGCCCAAGGCGGCGTTAACTAGTTTGGAGAATTAAGTGCAGAGAGCGCTTCTTCAGAAGACCCATAATTCTGATGGACTAAAACGACTGTTATTTCATGTTGGCAGGCAGAACCTGTTTCACTTTCCTTACGAATGGGGAAATATTACCCTTAAAATAACCGTTTTTTTTGCTTATAACATATTGGGTGCGGAAATCTCTCATTTAAAATTGGGTGGCGTATCTTGCAGGGCTTCGTATTGGGGTGGGGTGGGGGTGTCTGTCGAGGTGCGGCGGCCAGGGACATACCTCCGCACCCGGCACAACGCATCCAGCACAGTGCCGGACTAAGCTCGTGCGGGGCCTGGAGCATATGTTATAAAGTGGCCCTAAATAAAGAAATAAACACACAAATATTAAAACACGTACATTTTTTACTTGCACAGTAAAGTCATTGTATTTTTTCATTTGCTATACAGCCAGATAATATGACAAATCGCTAACCTTAAACACCCAGTCGTTCATAAAAGTTTAAGGCAGTACAGTACTATAGTAATAGAGCAAGTGCAGAATCGCTGAAACGGAATTTATAGCTTGAAAGCATCTAGCGCGGGCCCTTGAAAGTACGGGGCCCGTAGCTACTACACACGTAGCTACTACACATGCAGCTACTTTTGCTACGAGGATCATCCGGCACTGATCCAGTATCTCTCACTCTCTGAGGCCGCTGCTGCCTCCTCCGACCATGTTCCAGAAACGGAGCTCCCCGCTCACAATTCCCCGTGGGCCACCGGCCGATGTTCCTCGGCGAAGGCCACCCCGGCGGCTCGTGTTCCACGCGAGCGAGCGCTTGGTACGGAATATTTTGCAGACAAAACAGTTTGGTTTGAGTTAACAATGACTCACGAGCGGACGAAACGTCATCCAGCGTGTTCCTGACCGCGACAACCATCGCCGCTTGCTGCTCGACGCCGCACCTCACACGGTTGTAAAAACACGTCCGCAAAGCGGAGACGAAATTCAGAAGCGCAGCTGCACGTAGGCAGTAGCTAAGACTAAACTAAAAAAAAACTAATCTTTTTTTTTATTTTACTAGATAAGGCCCACTGAGCTATATAGCTATTCTTCAGAAGTGTCCTGGCCACAAATGATATTATCAACAAAGTAGCGTATTGTGTGTAAATTTGCAGCAGCCAAATAATCTAAACACATGTTGATTCTAAATGCGGAGGGAAAAACCAGAGGACCCGGAAAAAAAATCCACATAACCACAGGGAGAGAGAGAGAGACGCAAACTCCAAATATACAGCATGCGTGATGGTCAGGATGGAACCCACGACCTCCTGCATACCAGGCGAGGTCATTACCATATTGCCACTGTGTGTTGCAGGGCAACTCTTTTTCAGAACCGACTACAA